CACACACTCACCTCCCTCCCTGCCTCTCCTTTGACATCGATCCCCTCAGATCATCCCTGCCTCATGCACTTCGTGGTACCCCTTTGTTGGTCCAGTCAAGTGCACAGCTCCCTCTTTGCGCTGCGTGTGTCAGGGACAGGGAGACGCTGGCGTGTCCAACTTGGAATGAAAGAGGCACCTCTTACTGATAGGATAGAGTCTTCATGTCCTTGGCCCGGTGAGCATTTTTAATGTCATACCATCATTTTTCTATTTTAATAATAGTACCTTCTGCTGGGTATTTTACAGTCGTAGCACTTGGTTTCTCTTGCATTGAATCGTCATTGAATCCTTTTTTTCTTTACATGGTGCTTTTCTCTGGGGACTTAGGTTGTAGTCTCCTCTGATAAGTGGTATTTGGGCAGAAGACTGGCCCCATGTGCCAGTGACTTGTTTTCCGATGTTAAATTTACCTCTCTCTATGTGACTTTGACTCCTTTCTTAATTTATTTTCCCACTCTCGACTCCATGAAGACGCCGGAAATCCTCTCCCTTAGTAGAAATATCATGTCCGAAATTGGATGACGCCTTATAAAATCTGTATCCCTGGAAGAAAAGCCACTGTGTAAACTTAGGATCGTTATTTTAAAGTGGCAGTAACATAACCACTGTTGGAATGGAGACAAATTTAATTTCAAAGTCTGTGAAATATTTCAACCCCTTGAAAGTGTTAAGTAAAATAAACTCAGATCTTGGGGTTGTAGGAGATGGGCAAAGAAGTAAAAGGGGAGAAGTCCATTCAGCTGTCATCATAGGTGTGGATCCTGGTGTTATTTTTGCTTTTATTTGTTTAGCTTTTTGCTGGAAAGGAATGTAAGAAAGAGGCTTCTGTTTATTTTTGCCATTTTCATTTTTGTAACTTCTTATGGCCTGGCAGAGAGAGCTATGGTAATGTTTTAGAAATGTTTTGCCTGAAGGGGAACTTAGAAATCTTATCAGCAGTAAATATGCCAATTCTTTATGCTATTGCTAAGGTTTATGAAAGACAAATACAAAGAAAGCCAAGTGCAAAGTTAAGCTTTGTTCTTTTACAGTTCAGTTAGGGTGGTTCTGGGTCATTTGCAGAACATTTCACACCTTGCCTTTTTATGCATGCATATGACGTTCGTTATAACAAGTTTTCATTGTGGGCAGTGTTATAAATTTGAATCTAGATCCTGCCACTCAGCTAGCATGTGAGATGACCTTAAAGCAAAGCACCTTGACCTCTCTCCACACTGGTGTCTCCCTCTGTTAAATGAGGATAATAATGCCCACTTCATTGGGCCGCCACGGATGCCGTGTCAGCACAGAGGGTCTGACAGATGTCCACTATCATTGTTGCTGAAGAAAAGTAAGATCAAGAAGACATGGTGACTCAGATAGAACCATCTGTGCCCATTGATACAGGAATTATAGCTCTGTGAATTGTGTCCTTTCTGATGAAAATATTTTTACAAAGACTTTCATAGCATTAGTAAGCTTAAAGGTATCTCCTATTGCTAGAGTAATGCACTTAGTGGACCACTTCCCATCTAAGTGACTGAATCAACTATTACCATAATAATCCCCTGTGATGAGGGCATGAAGGGAGAGTATGAGCATATTAGGACTGCCCCATCCTTTAAGGACTTACCATCAACAATTGGAATTGTAAGAGAAATGAAACATTCTTGTTTCTAGGTGACTGTCTGTGTTACCAGACCCTCAGAACATCTGTCTTTCCTTTTTACTAAGGTGTTTTGTGTGAGTTTTGTTGTATTGTTTTGTTTGTACTGATCAGTCCTGAATTTCCTTAAGCTTTCCAAGAGTCAGCTTTTCTCCTTATGTGTCCAGTATTTGGTAGAGAAGAGGGCGTGGCTTTCATTGATCAGATTGATAGAGTTGCTGTTGTGTGTACCAGGCTGTATACTAGACTGCAGGGAGTCAGAGACGACTCTGTCCTTGAGGAGGCACAACACAACAAAAAAGGGATGGGACAGTTCAGGTCCAAGAACAGAGTGCACACTTGGGACTTGGGGGCAGGCAGAAGGGTTCAGATGGGGAATCACCTGGGACCAAAAAGGTTTCTGGACAGACAAGGAGGCACTCTCAGAAGAGAGAACAGCAAGGAAAGGCACTTCTTTGCCAACTGCATGGGCTGGTGATTTAGGTCAGTATGACTGAGCCCTTTGAGGGCAGGGACTGTCTCCATCAACTGATGGTAGGGCTGATGGCTTCCCCTGGTCGTGGGGTTACATGTAGGAAACAGGGTTTTTTCAACAAGGGCCACAGATGGAGATGCCGCTCTTTTTGCCCCTTGCCTATTCCTAAACATCGGTTCTAGCAGTTCCTTCTAAGGCCAGCTCTGTGCTGACCGTTCCTGAAATGAGTCGGTGAATATTTGAGGCTGTGGAAGACTTACTACCTTCTATGAAGGATCATTATAACTTCTCTGACATGCAAATTCTTAAAATAGGCAACGCTGAGAGATTTTTTTTTCTTCATGTAAGATGGTTTTTAGAAACATTTAGTTGTTAAAAGCCATAAGCTGGAGTAAGTTTCCAGTTGTTACAGGCTACTGAATGGTGGTTAAATGTGGTAAAGGATACGGCATTCGAGAGCGCGCTCTTTTAATGGGCTCTTTTCTTTTATGGGGTTTTAGATTTAGCCAAGGGCTATTTTTCTGTTGTTAGTGAAGTTGTCATTAATCTCACTGAGACTAGACAGTCTTCATCTTGGCTCAGCAGATTCTTAATCCTGTTCACTGTCGGTTCATATTCGTTTTGTTTTCCTATTAGTAATGTACTTACTGCCACATGGTGATAACATTACCGCTTATTTCCTGATTCTGAACACTGACAGCCTTAGCTTTTACTTTTATTCATTAGACTTTGTGGTTACAAAGGATTGTTCGTAAAATTGTTGCCGAAGTTGTTCAAGTAGGTTGAAAAAGAGTGTCTGACATATTCAGGCTGAGAGTGATTCTTGAGAGAAAACAGCCTAATCAAAACAAAAATTACTGGTGCTGGCTGTTTCCAGGGTTTCTTTCAACTGACCTGAAGCAGAGCTCACAAAAGAGGTAACATCTGCCAATCCTTTTAACAAAGTAGCAGCCTCTGTAACAAGTTTTACCGAAGTTACAGCCCCCTTAGCTGAAACTTTAAAAAAACAAAACCAAAAAACTCACAAGGTATCTGGAAACAAAATAAAATAGAATAGTGGTCATGACAAAAATATGAATTTGATTTGTAGTTTGCTATCACAGAGTAACACAATGAGGCCCTCACTGTAGCTAATAGCAGGAGTGGCTGTTTTTTCCTTAAGCTGTGTGTGTTTAAAATCAGAACGTAACAAATATCTCCAGGCTGTTTCTTGTGCCTTGCAGAGGAATATCACTTTAAGTGACGTTCTTCCCTATGGTTGAGTCATTCAGGAACTCTGAGGATACTGGTAGTCCACAAACATGCTTCCTGTTTCAAGGCTGGTCTAGAGTGTCGTTTGAGTTTGAAGAGCAAATCGGTTCCAGAACTGAAAGTGAAATGGAACTAACCAGCTTTCACTCAGTGACATTTGAAATGATGGCTGGTGTAAGAGATTCAGAATTAAAACATATTCCCTAGCTCTGTTCTCTTGTGACAGTTTATATTCCTGCCATTTCTCTTCATTGTACAGACCGAGAGCTGCCCCCCCCAACCCCGGGTTGTAAACATGTCTTTCTGTATTGCATTGGTATCTGCAGTGTTACTAATTATAAAAGTCAGTCACATGCCTTTCGCTTCACCTCAAGAACATCATCTGACTTTGCAGCACTGCAACAGATCCCTGAGATGGAGAGCCCGGGAGGGGGTCCTCACCCGCTGGGTGGCTGCTGAGCCCTCACTGGCAGCGGCAGGCCCCTGCCCGTTGGAGGCCTGGCCGCACAGCGACCCCGGATCCCAAGAAACAGGCAGGAAGTGGTTCCTGGAGGGAGTGTTTCTAACTCTCAGATTCCACTGGCATCCCTTTGGTTTGTTTTTCTTAGTTGCGAAAATGGTGTAAAAAAACATTGTTTTGAAATCTACAAGTTTTCAGGGCGCCTGGGTGGCTCAGTGGGTTAAAACCTCTGCCTTCGGCTCAGGTCATGATCCCAGGGTGCTAGGATCGAGCCCCACATTGGGCTCTCTGCTCAGTAGAGAGCCTGCTTCCCCCTCTCTCTCTGCCTGCCTCTCTGCCTACTTGTGATCTCTGTCAAATAAATAAAAATCTTTTTTAAAAAATTAAAAATTAGAAAAAAAGAAATCTACAAGTTTTCTATAACTGAGACCCATATCAGGTAACATATACAAATGAAAATTTGGTTTAAAAAGTTACCTGAAGCTTTAAGGGCTTAATTAGAAAAGGACAGTGAGTGATACATGATGTTTTGCTCAGTGTTAAAATCTGAGGGCCTCACCTGTGAATAAAAATTAAAATTGGGTATGTTAGCCTGTATAAGTAAGTCTTTTAAAAGTAATTCCTGTTGCAGCTGTTGACAATGTAATGAAGTCCTGTTTATATATTAACTAAATTTGTTGTGAATGCTACAGAATTTGGTAAGATAATTTCTAAATTCAGACTGAGGCTGTTTGAAATCAAGGTTGTTTCCTCCATTTCCTGTAAGAATTTCCCCCAATGTATCATTCTTTAAAAACCATTCAATTGTTAATGTAATTACCAAATGCATTTTTTTAGTGGCTTTTATGCTGAACTTGTAGTAGTGATAAATCATACTACGTTTAGCAAATGCTACATTGGTAGCTCGGGGTAAAACATGGCATAGGTTGATTCGTTCAGTTGCCTGTGGAAGCGTACGTAGACTGGGTGCCACAGGCATTGGTGGACTTCTGCTTTTCCTTTTAGGATTTAGTGACATCAGGTTTTTTGTTTTACTGATAACGAATACAAAAGGTACAAATAGGATTGTTTTTTATGGAAAATTGCATCTTTATTTTTTGCTTCACTTTCATTTGTTTTGTTTGCAGGTGTTGACTTTAAAATCAAAACTGTAGAGCTAAGAGGAAAGAAAATCAGATTACAGATCTGGTAAGTGGGGGATCCACCCCCAGTAACCACCATGTGTCTTCACAGTCTGTACGCCTGTCTAATAAAATTAACTGTCCAAGCTGGCTTGCCTCTCCTACTTTTCTTCTCCTTTGCTCATCTTTAAATAAAATGAACAGTGAGAAAATTTAGAAAAGACTACTTATTTCATCCTTCATTTGCACCTGGGGAATGGTGAAAAAAGAATGTTACTTTAATAATAGCTAACTGGGGCCTCGATGCCTCTTTCCCAATCATTTGTATTAATAGCCAATTTGTCATCCCTAAGGTGATTGCCCCAGTGCTTGTCTTCACATTTTTAAAGTGATTTTGTTTGAGCGTATGCAAGAAAAATTGCAGCTCGTTGCCGACCCGATCTGTGCTGTTTCAAGGCGGACCACCCACAGATGGTTCAGGGGCTGCCCGGGGTGGCGCAGTATGAGCACCGCAGTGGGACACGCATGCTCCCGCTGACCGTGTGGCTCGTACCGCGTGACATGAGCCCCGCCTGTGCCAACTGGGAGTGCATCCAGAGCCACTCAAGAGAAGCCCCTTCTCGCAGCGTCACGGATGAGCAGCTAAGGTCGCTGTGGGGGAGCTGCGGGGCACTAGGAACGGGCTCTGGGCGCCCAGCAGCCCACAGGCTGCCCTAGAAGCCCACCCATGGGGCGCAGAGCCCCTCTGGTGCTGGCTTCAGCGTGGTGCCGTGGAGGGGCTCCAGGATGCCCCTGTGTTGGTGACATATGCTGTCATGTACTCAGCCTACTAACTCCTCTGCAGGTCCACCTCAGCTCTGAGTGTTTGTCCACCATGTGTGTGTTTGCTTTCATCTGCGTTCCTTGCTCCTCATCTGTGGCATCATCGGTCACCTAATGCTTGAATGTTAATGCCATGCCTTCATTCTCCGCCCGCGCCCCTGGGTGGGCACTGCTGCCCACCGGAGGGGTCTGAGGTAATGTCTTCGTTTGGTCCCCTGCCTCTGTGTGACCCACCATAAGGACTATTTGGGTGTGGGAGTGTGGGGGTTTGGGCTTTGGTTTGGTTATGAAACATTAATAGTCTTGCCTAAATACTTAATGACCAAACAAATGGATATTTCTTACTTTAGTAGCCCTTTTTTTGGAAAGTCCGCAAACTTTGTCACATTGCTGCCCATTTTTAAGCTCTGGAAGGGACAACGAAGTATCTTCCACATGAGCTGTTGTTTCTGATTGTAAGCTCTCTCAGGTAAAGACCATCTCTCAAAGGACTGTCCTGGTGGTTCACCTCTGCCTAGCACCTGTGGATGAGATCCTGTCTGAAGGGCATTACTGAACAGAGGGTGATGGAGCTAATATTAGGCCGTCTGTGGAGCTTGCTTCATGAGTGACGGCAGTGTCTAGGTGATGACGTCATGGCCTGGCTAAGCAGATGTACCTTAATTACTGAATTCATACTTCAGTTTTCATCTCAGGCAGTAGTAATCTGACCTATAAAAAGTATGTTCAAATGTCCTGTGGCTCCCTGGAACTCAGCCCACGAAGACCGTCTGTGCCAATGACATTGGCTACTTCTGGAATCTCCGGACAGTGCCTCTGAATAGCTCTAAGAGGGCCTCACCCGTGACTCCCACCTGTGGGGAAAAGCATGCTGGGACAGTTCCAGGAAAGGCACAGGACACTCCGAAAACCATTATTTCTCTGGGAAGTAAACGCATTCCCTAGCGTAACTGCTCTGCTTCTCCTTGACTCTACTGAAGAATACAACTGAGGAAAGAAATCGAGATTTAGTGACTGTATTAAAAAGTTGATTACGGGGCACCTGGGTGGCTCCATTGGTTAAGCGACTGCCTTCAGTTCAGGTCATGATCCCAGAGTCCTGGGATCGAGTCACACATCAGGCTCCCAGCTCCACAGGGAGTCTGCTTCTTCCTCTGACCTCCCTTCTCATGCTCTCTCACTCTGTCTGTCTGTCTGTCTGTCTTGCAAATAAATAAAATCAAAAGAAAAGAAAGAAGGAAAGGTTGATTACACGTTTTCCACCAGGAACATTCCAGTGATTCAGTGAGGGAGGAGGATGTACGTTTTCCCAAAGGGATTTTCAGCAGTGAATAACACATCCACAAAATGCCCGCCACTTGTTAATCACACAAAACTCAAAGCCAGATTGTTGTCATCTGAAGCATTTTGTATAGAGGATTAAACATTTCCTTCATTATTGTTAACGCAGTAGATAGAACGGAAGTATGGGGGTCGAGGCTCACTGCTTAAAGAAACACGACTCATTTCAGAGTTAGAAGCCGCGCTCGCACCATTGCTGTCATAGTCTGCTTTGTTGTGAGCCTGCTGTCACCACTTTGCTGTCGCAGTTGATGACCCAGGAGGGGCCAGGAGGGCTCTTCAAAGAGCCTCCGTACCCTTGCTCTGCTAAGAATAGCTGTGCTCTGATTTTCTAGAATGTTAGTGCATGGACATTCCCAGTTGGTTTTCACAGAGATCTGATTAGAAGAAATGCAGTTTTTTTCTTGATGATTTCTGGATATAGCCGAGCTGAGGAAATATTAACCAGAGGTTCCTAAAAGTTTAAGATACTGAAAGCTCCAGATGGCATTGTCACACTTTTATGCAACATTTTATATCATTGCCATATTTTTCAGTCCCTTGATTATCTGTGGCCAGAAAAAAGGACCGTTTTCTCATCTCTGTGCTTAAAAGTGCTTTTTTGTGGAAGTGTAGCTAAAACAGTGCATGTCAGCTAGAAGACAGCTTCATGAATTGACATTCAGATGCTATCCTGAAGATTAAACACAGGGAATTAACATGCATCATATAAGGGCCCCTCCGACCTGTCCAGCACGCCCATCTTCCCTGTGGGGGGCTTTGGTTTTAGCCAGCTTTCTTATGTCAACATCAAGGCTTGCTTTTCATTTTCTGCTTGGAAGAAGTGGGGACATTTCGTGTGCAGAAATTGATTCCTGCCCTGCAAATTAATAATTCCGTCTTTACATGGATGTATTAAATACAAGTAAGAATCTCTAAGTTTTCAAAGCATGGTCTTATTACAAAACTGGGGAAACAGAATTGCCGGAGTTTTTCAGTTTGCACCAAAAAGCAGAGAGAGAAATAATCACCACATATTTCAACAGCAGCAGATGACAATTTAGCTGACATTAGTACACTGCAAATCTCGAGAAATCCTCTATCAGGACAGTGAAAACTCAGGTTTATGGAGATAAAGAGGAAATACTAGGATTCTGCATCTTCACAGAAAGAAGTATGATCACTGCATTGGTGTCTTCTTAGCAGCTAATTTTTGAGAAGTAGGAACTCAGGTGCGTGCGACTTCTGTGGTACTGGCGCATAGGAGATCTGTAATCTGTACTCGATGAGCTGTGTCTGCACTTCATTTCCCTGTTCTTTGACCAAATGTGATAGCAGATAATTTAGTAGTGGAAATAAATTAAGCAAAAGAGCTTCAGAGGAAGAGAAAACAAAAATTTGCATGACCCACATATTTTGGAAATAGAGGATAGTCTCTCAAAGGAAGATGCTTTTCTACCTCAAGCATTCAGAGCTGGAAACAAATGGGTGGAATTTAAGGAATGACATTAAATGGGAGTGGCAAATTGATTAATGGTTCCTCCTTGGGGTTTTTGTAAACTGTACTTACTGGCTCAGTTATTTGTGTTAGAATGATTGCCTCTGATTTTGCATTTTGAGGTTTGCCCTCTTTGTGTCTGAATGAAAGCCAACAGAGATCGCTAATTTCTTAATGTTTCTGAGATTCCTGACTGCCTCACCCAGGCTACAGGTGTTTTTAACTTTATGAGAAATGCCCTTTATTCTCCCTATCATTCAACTGTTGGCTTTTTTATTATTTATTTTTTATTCTAAAAATCTGCTGTACAACTTCATGCTTATACATAACAATATTTTACACAAATAAAGGAGTTAAAGGAGAGTAGGTTTCATGTCAGGTCATCTTACCACAATAAATAAAAGCTTTTAAAATTAGGGGCACCTGGGTGGCTCACTTGGTTAAGCGGCTGCCTTCAGCTCGGATTCAGGGTCCTGGGATCAAGTTCCGAATTGGGTTCCTAGCTCAGTGAGGAACCTGCTTCTTCCTCTCCCTCTGCCTGCTGTTCTGCCTACTTGGGCTCTCTCTCTGTGTCAAATAAATAAAATGTTTTTTTAAAAAAATGATTAAATTATAAAACCATTACCTCAGGGCGCCTGGGCGGCTCAGTGGGTTAAGCCTCTGCTTTCAGCTCCAGTTGTGATCTCAGGGTCCTAGAATCGATCCCAACACCGGGCTCTGCTCAGCAAGGAGCCTGCTTCCCCCTCTCTCTCTGCCTGCCTCTCTGCTTATTTGTGATCTCTCTCTCTGTGTCAAATAAAATCTTTTAAAAACAACAACAGCAAAAACCCGTTACCTCTAATTTCACTGTGTTTGAGCCCCCAGTGTCTAGATTCTGATTCTTTGAATGTGTGCAGAAATTAATGTCAGTTGAGTTGCACTAAACAGCCAGATTAAAGTTGCTTAGAATAAAGGTTTATTCTATTAAATTGTTAAAGTACTATGCTAACCAAAAATTTCAAAGTAGAAAAAGGTATAGTTTTTTTTTTTTACTTTTTAAAGAAATGAGATACTATTTCTTAACAGTATCCAAACAGCACAGCATATTTTTTAAAGTATTAAAAATATTTGATCAGATCCTAATTTGATCAAACCATAACTTGTGATAGACTGGGAAACCATGCTCTCAAAGATTTAATTCCTTATTGATTCAAAAGTATTAATTATAGGGGGTGCCTGGGTGGCTCAGTTGCTTAGGCATCCAACTCTTGATTTTAGCTCAGATCATGATCTCAGGGTTCTGGCATCGAGCCCAGCGTCAAGCTTCACACTGGACATGGAGCCTGCTTAAGATTCCCTGTTGCCCTCTCCCTCTGCCCCTCCCCCTTCTAAATAAGTTGTTGGGTTTTTTTTAAAGATTTTATTTATTTATTTGATAGAGACACAGCAAGAAAGGAAACACAAGCAGGGGGAGTGGGAGAGGGAGAAGCAGGCTTCCCTCTAAGCAGGGAGCCTGATTCAGGGCTCGATTCCAGGACCCTGGGATCATGACCAGAGCCGAAGGTAGACGCTTAATGACTGAGCCACCCAGGCACCCCTAAATATATATATATTATACCCCTGTCTCCCTAGGATTCCAGAAATAATTTTAATCATTGATCCTTGTGTAAATGAAATGGTACCTGGATCAGTTCCTTCTTACTAACCTTGAAGGTGCAGTGCCCATTAGTGTGGTCTTTAAGGTTTTTTAGGAATCTTGAAGAATTCAGTCCCATCTATCCTATTCAGTTTTCCAGGTTTGGGGCATTTTAAGTTATTTTACCTTGAAGTGGCATCAACTCCCCCATTTTGAACATGTAAACTTCATTCAGTACCTGCTTACTGACAGCTGCTACGGGCCAGGCACCCTGCCGGACCCTGGTGGACAGAAACAGACCAGCCTTGGCCCTCTTGGACTTTCCGGTCAGAGGCAGCCGGGGATTCTTATATCCTCTGGAACAAAGCAAATGGCTTTGCTTTATGTGAAAATGAATTTACCAACAAGCTTTTTTGTGTATTTGGCATAACAATGCCATCACTAATGTGAATTAATTTGGGGGCAAGACCAGTGTGAATAAAGCTGTAGATTACAACACGGTTGCCGAAGGGAAGGTTATGTTAGGGAAACAGTCCCACTAAGCACAGCTCAAGGGAAGTAGTGTTTGATCAGATGCATCTAGGAAAAGCTGCTCTTTCTACCTCTCAGAAACCCACACACTGTCATTTTGGGAGGCCTTGGATGGCCTTGCAGTGAAGAAGCCTATTTTCAGTGCCTTGGCCCCCGGCAGTGTTACTGCAGGACCCACTGGTCTCATATGCCCCCCGGGAGTGTGCTGTGAGTTCAAGGTCTTTGGGAAGAGCTAAATTACATTATCTTTAGAGAAATTTGTCTCCAGATCAGAAGCCCTGCTCCATTGAGCTCATTCATAAATACATGTTGGTTTTCGGCAGTTTCTTGGCTTATTAGATGGAGAAAATAATGTCTCAGCCAGCTGCTGTACACTGTTCGTGAGCTTACATCATTCTTCATGTTGAAATGATTGACTTCAGCCTAGAGAATAAATACAACTTCTGGCTTTTAAAGTAGCAGTCAGACAATAATGAACTTTACCATATTTGAAAACCTATTCCCTGCCCCCTTTGACCCCTTTTTTATCTTAGAAGGATTAAGACAGTAACAAGACTGATTTTATAGTACTTTTCCTTAGCGAGCAACTCTTGGTCATCTTCTCAACAAAGTCAGATATAACCATTGATGTTGGTTAAGAGAGAGTTGGGGGTGGGGGGGTGGCACCTGGCTGGCTCCGTTGGTAGAACATGTGACTCTTGATCTCAGGGTTGTGTGTTCAAGTCCCACGTGGAACACAGAGTTAAGTTTATTTTAAAAAAAAGAGTTTGTATAGGGGGTTACACTTTTCATCATTTTTCACATTGTTTTCTTATTTTCAAAATCTTGGTTTGAGTGAAATTGGGACTGTTTTTGTCTGAATGTAACTAACTCAGAAAAACTACCTCTCACCCCCCCACCAATACTGATGCTTATGCATGGACGGGACTAGAAGCAGCATGCAGGGGGCGGGGCATCCGTGTTGGAAGGTGGAGCTGCTCCTTCTGGTCACTGTGTGGGAGCTGACTGTCGCTGCTGTTTCATAGGGACACAGCAGGTCAGGAGAGATTCAACAGCATTACCTCAGCTTATTACAGAAGTGCCAAGGGGATCATACTAGTATATGATATCACGAAGAAGGAGACTTTTGATGATTTGCCAAAATGGATGAAGATGATTGATAAGGTAGGTGTTGCGTTTTCCTGTGAGAACCTGTATTAATCCCATAGACCGAAAAGCCATGGCCTCAAGCCTCAAGGCCCCCTGAGGTGCTCAGTTTGTGGATCTGCTGAGGTCTTGAAATATAACGCTCTGCCCCCTTTTATACTTTTTTTTATGCCTTTTGCCTTTTTGTGAACAAGTGCTCTTGTTTCTCGAGTACTCTGGAGTACTTCCCATGCTTGTGCCGCAGCAGCCTCACTAGATGGGCGCTGTTCTGCTCCCATACTCCTCACAGAGACAAAGACCGAGACCTTGAGTGACTCGGCCAAGGTCAGGGGCTCTTTTTTTTTTTTAACTTAGAAATGTAGCTTAACTTTTTTCCTGATTATAAGATCAATATCTTGTCACGATAGAAAATTTGGAAAATCAAGCACAGAAGTAAATTTAAAAATGTATACTTTTGCCGTTCTGAAAAATCAAACTGAATCCATATTCCATGTGGTTTTAAAGCCTGCTTAGTTCACTGAATGTTCTGTCATGCCAGCTTTCCTGTGTCTTTGAAATTTCTTCCAAAGTATGGGTGATTTTTTTTTTTTAATGGCTGCATTCTTTTTATGTACCTTAACTTATTTCATTCTCCATCTATTTCGTTGGACTTTCTTCAGTTGATGGTCATTTTAAGTATAGGGCTTTGCCTGCGATGTAAATCATTTGCTTAGGATAGATTCTTAGAAATTACTGCTCCAAAGCTCAGAATACCTGTTACTGCATCACTCTCCAAAGCCGTGAGCCCCGTGTGGACTGTCCCAGACCCCACCTACGTCAGTCCTGCCAGGGACAGGACGGGGTGGGGGGGATGTGGGGTGTGGATAAACACAATGATGGCAAACAGCAGAGTGGTTTACGTTACCTGTCAGGATGCGACAGTGCCCACCTTTGAAATGAGGCTTCTTCTAAAATTCCACAGTATGCTTCAGAAGATGCAGAACTTCTTTTAGTTGGAAATAAGTTGGACTGTGAAACTGACCGAGAAATCACCAGGCAGCAAGGTGAAAAGGTGAGAGAAATGGGGAGTAGAGGGGGACATCACTGTCCACACTGCTGTGCGGTCTGCCGTTGGGAGACTTAAGTAGATTTTTTTTAAATGATGAAATAATTATACAATCACGTCCATCTCCTTTGGACTTAAAGGAGCAGGAAGTTTTAAAAATTGTTTCAAAATGGAGGGGGGTAGTGTCCACATCAGTATATATGGCATTATTCTCTAACCCACCATTTCCTATAGAGAAATGTTTTTTAAGCCGTAAAATTGCTTTCATGATTTGCCCTGGGGTATTGTAACCTTCTGTGGAGAATCAGTGATATTCCCATTGTAAATGTCAGATGCATCACAACTCTGGAACTTGAATGTCCCCACGTCACCTCAGGGATTTTGTTCCACGTTCCTCACTCACCCTGGTGGGGTTTGCCCCGTGTGCCTACTTACCCACCTCGGGGGTGCCACACACGTGAACTCTGTTGGAGCCTAAACGGGGCTCAGCAGACCTGGCCCGCCCCTCCCTTCAGGCAGGAGCCCAAACGCTGTGGTTGTCCCGGTTACAGGCCCCCTGGCCACCTGCTCCATTGCGTGGCACCACCCCCCCAAAGAAATCATGACCCTGTGTTCTTAGTTCGCACAGCAGATAACCGGAATGCGGTTCTGTGAGGCAAGTGCCAAGGACAACTTCAATGTGGATGAGATATTTCTGAAGCTTGTCGATGACATTCTGAAAAAGGTAAAATAATGATACCAGGTAGCTATCTCGTGTGAGACCTGTCGTTCCCTTTACAATGTCTTGGTTGAGAATGTTTGACTTAGAAAGGGAGACAGGGAACTTACTCAGAGGTGAAGAACCAGGTGAGGTGGTTGCCTTGGCTGGAGGCCTCCGGTTGTGGCAGCCGCCACGTCTGCGGGGGGCCCCACCGAGTCCAGTGTTGGTGTCCAGTCGATGTGCTGAGCCCTGAAGATGGTTTGGTGAAGTGACTGGAGCAGGTATAACAATGTGCCATGTTTATTTGACATTTCCTTTTGTTCTTTTCCCATTTTCCCACAAGAATTAAGATACAGGCAGTGGGGACCTCCTGGAGTGTGCAGGTGTCTCAGGAGGGAGCCCCTGGGTCCTACCTTGCCCTTCATGCTGTGCTCCCCAGCGGGGCCCACTTCCCTTGCCTAGGCCTTTCCATGACACTAAGTTGCAGGAAAATTGCTGGACAGCTTTGATGAACAGTTTCTTCAAGCATCTGTAGGCTTAAATTCAGAGATTTTTTAATAAGAACTTACGTTTATGTTATTACTACATATAATCTGCTAATTCAAACAATTCAGAAACTTCTAATAAAAGGATTGTTTATATAATTGCTAAGAGAAGTTATTTCTTCCCGTAGTGATGGTAATACCCCTGAGAATGCAGAACCATTTTTTCCCCTGTATTAATGCATTAAATTTCCATTATTACTAGGTTCTGTGAAAATATATGTTGTTGAGAGAAATCCATCTGGTTTCCTTTCCTCAATCATAGGGTATGATCGAGACTGGCCAGTGTTTGTGTGTGGCAGAGAACACCCTGAACCTGGTTCTCATTGTTTTGGCTTTATACCTGAACATCTAATTAAATGATGATGATTAGAAACCTTTAGTAGAAATACTTTGCTCATATAGAATCGTGTCATCTGCAGAGCTTCCAGATACATTGCAGGGTTAAATGTATTTGTCTTTTTCCCTTTATCCTTAAGATGCCTCTGGATATTTTAAGGAATGAGTTATCCAATAGCATCCTCTCATTACAACCAGAACCTGAGATCCCACCAGAACTGCCTCCACCGAGACCACACGTTCGATGCTGTTGATTTCCTACTTTGGAGACAAAGTGGAAATGATTCCTGGAAAGGGGAGAATGTTCTATTCTGCACTACAATCATTTTGAAAATTTCCTTTCGCACTTTGTAATCCAAGTCACAGCTATACACTAACTTGTAAATATGCAAATATGCAATCCTGGGTAAGTTTTGGTTATAAATTACATATTTCCCTCCAAATTATTATATTTCATTCATTATCCCAGCATCTAGTGTACATACACTGGGAAACATAGTACTTCTAATATGAAGAATGGGAGAAATGAAAGGTATAATGTTTCTTGAAATAAATAATATAATTGTCCTCGTTAATTATATTATGAGGACAGAAGATATTCTGATAAGAAGAAAGAAAGTGGTGCTTTGCTTACTGTTTTAAAGAAAATTTGTAAAACTAAAGACTTTTGGGGAAAAAAATAAAGCTATCAGAAGTGCTTTTTCTTTATCTACAAGACATTTACCCCAGCTGTAGCATCTCTGAAGTATGGGAGTATTTCTGCCACAAAGCAAAGCTCCATTCATAGCCGTCTTTGAAGGGTATTTATTAATGTTATGTTATGGTAGAGTACTACTAGTTAGATAGTAGGGGTTTGACTTGGTCCTGAGGCCGCAGAATCTCTCTCATGGTTTCCTAATGGACATACCCTGTGCTTTTAAGAACTACAAAGATTCAATAAAGAAAGAAGTGTTTTTGAAACTATAGATTTTAAAACAACGCTGCTGTCCTAAACAAATCCTGTTTAAAGGAATTTTAAAGAGATACATTTTACTATATCAAAGAACATACATGTATTTACCTAAACATTCTATACCTTTGTAATGATAAAACTTCTCCCCTTTATGGTGAAGCTTATTCCTATTAAGCCTAGACTGTGTTCTTTTTTTTTTTTTTTTTTTTTTTTTTTTTTTTTTTTTTTTTTTTTTTGGTCTGATAATGAATTTGTGAACTCTATCTTTGGTATATCTTTTATTAAACTGCACTGTTTTGTTTAGTCAAGGTAAATAAGTAATTATGTATTTGAATAACTTGGCGTGTCTTGAGTGTTGTGATATGAAAAGCATTGTGGTCTTTCTACACTAATGAAGTGCAAATAAAATTTTGTATTTATGAATGACAGTTGAGTGGCCACATTCCTTTGTGTAATTACAAACTATACATCTGACAGTATTTTCCAAAACTTCACATCTTTTGAGCATTTTAGATGAGAAAAATACAGCATCCTCCACTATGGAAAACAGCCAGGCTGCTTCTCAAAAGGTGAAACGTAGAAGAACTACAGTATGACCCAGAAATTCCACCTCTAGGTACATACCAAAATAAAAATAGAAGGCAGGGACCCAAACTCATATAGACCAGTGTTCATAGCATTATTCACAACAGCCAGAAGGGGGAAACACACCACATGTCATCAACAGATCAGTGGGAAAACCTAAGTGATCTCTACATGGAGCAGAGTATTGTTCAACCTTAAAGGAAATTCTCACCCCACACCACAACATGGACGAACCTTGAGGACATTCTGCTCAATGCAATAAGCCAGGCACAGAATGACAGGATTCCAATGATATGAGGGACCTAGACGAGTCCAATTCATAGACAAAGTGGAATGGTGGTTGCCGGGGCTGAGAGTAGGGGGGAATGAGGAGTTAGTGTTTAATAGGGACAATTTTTTTTTTTTTTAAGATTTTATTTATTTGACAGACAGGTCACAAGTAGGCAGAGAGGCAAGCTCTCTGCTGAGCAGAGAACCCAACACGGGGCTCGATTCCAGGACCCTGGGACCATGACCTGAACCAACAGCAGAGGAAATAGCGACAATCTTAAAGTTTGGGAAGATGAAAAAGTTCTGGCAGTGGTTGGTGGTGGTGGTGATATGTGATGCGACTGTGCTTAGTGCATTGGACTGTATGCTTTAAAACAGCTAAATATATATTTACTTACTTATGCTGTCCTCAAGAAAATGTTAACGTGTACCTTTTCCAGGCCAACGGTCAGTCACGGGTTCTGTGGATTAATTAGGTGTTCCTGTCACACCTTCCCTTGTGGCTCTGCTCTGATGCAGGGGGTGGGACTGGGTTCAGCAGACCCTCCTCTTCCTCTTAAGCCAGCTGATGGGAGAGACTTGAGGGACTGGGAAGGGGGAGGGACGTGCTTGCCACTGTCCTGCTCCCGTCAGCCCCTGCAGGAATAGCCCACGCTGGGCCTCCAGCAACCAGCGCGCCCCCTTCCCGGCACAGCACGCAGGGCAGCACTGGGGCTGGGGTAGGTAGGCGTCCTGCCTCCTGGGCCCCGGCCTGACCATCACAGCCCCTGCTGACCCCCTCCTCAGATGCCCGTCTGCCCAGCGGTTCCCGCACCTGCGAGGCTGGCAGCACCCTCAGAAGCGCAGGCCAGGCCGGTAGGGGGCCTTCTCTGAGCTCCACAGATTGGGCGACACCCCCTCTTCCTTTTTGCTTCCCCCAGAGCTGACAGCACTAGTGCTTCCTTCAGCCGTCATGGATTACTTCAGGTTCCCTCAGTTGGGTTAGCATTTTAACAATGGTGTGGCTACTGTAGTTAGTCTTAACAATTTGTCTCCCTCTCTGATTTTGTCTTATTTTATTTTTCCCCTCCCTTCCCCTGGTTCCTCTGTTTTATTTCTTAAATTCCACATCACATATGAGTGAAATCGTAGGATAATTGTCTTTCTCTAACTGATTTACTTCACTTAGCATAATACCCTCTAGTTCCATCCACGCCGTTGCAAATGGTAAGAATTTTTTGATGGCTGAGTAATATTCCGTGTGTGTGTGTGTGTTACTACATCTTTATCCATTCATGGAGGGGAGGTGGGGGAGGGATGGGGTAGGAGGGTGATGGGCACCAAAAAGGGCCCTTGATGGCATAAGCACTGGGTGTTATTACAACTGATGACTCACTAAATTCTACCTCTGAAATTAATAATATACTATGTACTAATTGAATGAATTTAAATTTTAAAAAGTTGACCATTACATTAAAATTTTTTTTAAGTTTGAAAGAAAAAAATGATGTGGCTCTTTTCCTGTAGTGAATCCCTGTTTAAAAATGCCTGGGGACGTCTGGGTGGCTCAGTCTAGTGTCTGCCTTCGGCTCAGGTCATGATCTCAGGGTTCTGGGATCCAGTCCCACACTGGGCTCCTTGCCCATCAGGGAGCCTGCTTCTCCCTCTGCCTGCTGCTCCCCCTGCTTGCGGGCTCTTTCTCCCCCACTTCCTCCCTCCCTCTCTCTCTGACAAATAAGTAAATATCTTTTAAAAAAAATAAATTTGGGGGGCACCTGGGTGGCTCAGTGGGTTAAAGCCTCTGCCTTCCGCTCAGGTCATGATCCCAGGGTCCCAGGATTGAACCCCACATCGGGCTCTCTGCTCTGCAGGGAGCCTGCTTCCTCTTCTCTCTCTCTCTGCCTGCCTCTCTGCCTACTTGTGATCTCTGTCTGTCAAATAAATAAATAAAATCTTTAAAAAATAATAATGTTTGTTTGCCCTAGGCATTTGTGGCTACTTCAGTGATCTGTGGCCTTTATATGAACAACTAAATCTTTACTCTTGCGTCTGTCTTGTCCGCTGTAGTATCAACAGAAGCACCCTTGTTCAGTGTGGTAGTTTTGGGGTTAAAGGTAGGACTTTGCAAGATGTCTTTGTGCGGTTTACAGCTCTTGGCTTTCCCTAGTTTTTCAGTATGCTCCTCCAACTTTTCCAGCTCTCGTTTTCCAGTATGCTTTTAGGGTTTTTCTCTGATCAGTAGGACTTTAGACAATGTGATGAGGACTTCACGGTATCCTATACTACAGTCCTCCACAGTCCTTTAGGGGCGGGTGATTCAATGTCAACTTTGTGAGCAGTTTTCTTGACTCATGGCCCGTCTTGCCCACAGGGATGGTCCATCATGTAAGAAGCGGAAACTCAATGTCCTCTCTCTCTTGGTTTTTAAAAAGGTCTCTCCTTTTGAAAAACAGGTGTAAACAACGCCATTATGTTTTTGTAGCTCATTGTCCTAGATGAGTGCCCATTTGATTCTCAGAAACCAAGATGAGTAGAGAGACCGGTGTAAAGTGAATTTTTAGTTGTCTGCATAAGCAGAGAACAAAGTCCGAGAAAGTGCAAATAAGAATCACCTATCGCCCCAAGATCTATAGACGTTGTTAAGACCACAAAATCCTATCACTAGTCTGTGGAGTAGACAGTAAACGAGGTTGGATTCACCTGCTTCGCGGAGAGTCAGCAGTGAATGAATTACTTCGAATGCAGTCAGGGAACGTCGCGGTGCTTCTGCGCGTGAAAACCTCCTCACTTCCTTCTGCCTCCTCCGTCCTGGTGCTTATTTCAAGTTTGGCAGGTGGTTTTTTTTAATGGTTCAGATTTGAATATTAAAACGGAGCGTTGGTATTAGTGGATGACACAATAAAACATGAGCTTTTAGGCCAGGTTGTAAACAAAATACCTAACACTGGTTGTTGGTTTTGTTTGTTTGTTTTTTGTTGTTTGTTTGCTTGTTTTTTTTTTTTTTTTCAGGAGCAACTCTCAGGGGAGAGAGAAAGTACTTGTGTGGATCACCTCGATGTTATAACTGGGCCCACAGATTGCAGGTCAGCGTGGTCAGGACGTGGTTTGCAGCCCATTACTTAGTTGCAATACTGTAGTTGGCCAAGTTGAAATGTGTTCCGTGGTTGCTATATGCAGAACGCTGTGCCTGGGTGCTGCAGGGAGTACGACAGAGAAATCAGACAGTCCCCGCCCTTGAGTCCAAATACAAGAGACAGAGGGACACCATTAAACAACGAAGAGACTCCCGGGGAGAGCAGATGAGGGAGAAGCCAAGGCCAGGATGGGAGAAGGTGGGGAGGTGGGGGGACACTCTCCCCCTCGCCCTCAAGAATGAGTTGACTATGAGGGCTCCTGGGTGGCTCAGTTGTTAAGTGTCTGCCTTCAGCTCAGGTTGTGATTGCCGGGTCCTGGGATCGAGCCCCTCATCGCGCTCCCTGCTTCACAGGAAGCCTGCTTCTCCCTCTCCCACTCTCCCTGCTTGTGTTCCCTCTCCTGCTATGTCTCTCTCAGTCGAATAAATAAATAAAATCTTTAAAAAAATAAATAAAAAAAAGAATGATTTGACTATGGACTGACTGTTGGCCAGGCGGTGTATCCAAAGAGCCGGAGAAACCTCTGGAAAAAGACTATGTCGTAAAACATGCACTGTTAGCCATTCCAATAGCTTCCTAAACACTTGGCTGCTTCTGGTAAATGTTTGGTGAAGCCTGTTTTCATGATAGAACATAATTACTGGAAATACAGTGGAACTGTCTGCATGCATACAAAAAAAAAAAAAAAAGGAAAGCGTGTCTCATTCCAATACATTTGCAATGGTTACTGAAAAGAGTTCTGAAAAATCTGC